CAGCCAACGGTACGGGCGCACTCTCTCCCGACTTCGGTGGGAACGGGTTTGCGCCCGGTGCTCGTGGTCCGTAGACGACGCGCGGTCGACGTGCGGATGGCTTCGCCGACGTGCGCCGGCCGTGAACCTCCGCGGCTCTCGACTAGCGCACAGCGCTAACGTGATGTCCGCGGTTGTAGCCGCAAGGCAACAAAACCCGGGAGTCCTCGTGTGACTGTCAAGTCGTCTGTAGGTTATCTGCTGTTCGCCCGAACTACGTTTCGGGCTATGCAGAATTCTCATCTGTTCATCTTCAGACAGTTCCTCATGAGTATATTCGTTCAAGATTACTCGAGCCGTTTCAAGAGAAGCTTTTATTTCTCTTGAAATGTCGTAAACTTGAAATCTGTTTTTCTTAGATAGACCTTCGACCGCTAATTGATCGAGATCTGAGATAGCTTTGTCAATTTTGTTCTTGACTGGTTCCAGGTGCTTTACATTCGTTTTGCACTTGTCAAGAAATAGTAGCTTGTTTGTTATATTGTCTACTTGTTTAATCATCTTACCTCGATTATGGTCGTCGATGGTATTATGTTGTTTAGTGACTGTGTTTTTTGGCCAGTATTTGTCTTCTTGAAAGAAATTCTTTATATAGTTTAGCTTTCCTTGTATAGTAATTATGTTCGTTTCCGTAATATCAAATTTTTCCGTGTCCATGTCCCAGCTTACATTATCCGAGCTATTGATTTCGACCGATGTGGCGAGCTCACCCACATCTGCCGGGTCTGAGGTTTCCGAGGCCTCTGTACCAGTAACATCGTAAATTTTATCTGTAGGTGTGTTCATATTAGGGTTTTTGAGGGGATTGCCCTCGGGTAGCCCAAWTCCCTCTGGCCGTCGGTGGGCTATTCCGACGGTTGCATTTTTGCCAAATGTTGGATATCCGGAGTCGGCCTACTCCGGACAGTTGAAGACCTCTTAGCGCCGGACAATTTGTCCGGTCGGGCGGGGTCGCCGTGGCAAGGCGGGTCTTCATCGACCCCGAGTAATAACTAAACAGTGCATTAAAAGAATAACCAAATTTACGCTGCTGGATGCTCGCGGCCTATTTGTAAAATATTACCACTAGATGGCGTTCTAATCATTCGGACTTTTGTATGATGGTGGAGAGGTGGAGAGAACATAACATTTGATGTTCGGTCCCTCCTACTCCCCCAGCCTATTCGATGCCAGTCCATTATATCTTAGTCCGTGCTTTGTACATATTAAATTATTATGACTTATGAGTACTAATCATAGATATCAGTTACTAATACTACTATACTCTGTTCAAGTTAAGAGTGCCCAAACTCGCGCATGCATACTGAGCAGCCGCAACTGTCAGA